AGAGGAGAGCAGAAGAGAGAGAGAGAGAGAGAGAGAGCCATCCCTTAGTTATGCTGCTATAGGCCTAGACAACTGGGGGTCCTGTGTCTCCTCTCTCCCGTAGTGTGTCCTCTCTCTCTTCAAGTACCTTTCTGGAGGTTGCCCTGGCTCTGGAGCTGTACGTTTCTGATAAGCAGTCACTGGCCACATTAAGCTGCCCAGTGTTTTGTTGTTACTTGTTGCTTTTCTTTTCTTTCTCCTGTATCCACTCACTCCAACCGGTTGAGGCAGAAGGACACCCACCAAGAGCCGGGGTCTGTCTGAGGTTTCTTTTGTTTTTCCTCTCTACTGTGGCCAAGTGATTGCTCAGGGGAGATTTGTTTGGTTTTCTCTATAATACAATAAGGTCTAGACCTTACTATGTAAAGTGCCTTGAGATAATTGTGATTTGGCACCATCTAAAAATTTAACTGAATTATTACTCGGAGCCAGACTCGGCGGTAGAGCAGTCGTCTCCCAACCGGACAGTCAGAGGTTTGAATCAAGGTGCTTGCAGTCCACATGTCAAAGTGTCCTTGGGCAAGACACTGAACCCCCAAGTTGCCCCCAATGGTTAGAGCCATCAGTGTGAGTTGGCACCGTAGATGGCTGCCTCAGTTCTGTATCAGAAACAAATTCAATGTGTGTATGTAACATACTTGGCCAAATAAAGGTGATTATCCTTATTAAAAGCTCTGTATTTTTTGCAGGCAGACTGATTTATGATGTGGTTTGATCCTAAATAATGGAGGGATGGAGAGATGAAAGGCTGGATGGGTGGGACAAATATAATGGGAACTTAGCCCTCTCAAACTACAAGGGATAGTTGAGATATATTACCACTTATTTAGTGGGGTGCACTATATTATGGCTGCACCTGGAGTCAAATATGATTCACCACTGTTAGCCAATGCTTCAAATACTGGAAAAAAAAAAAAGAAAGAGATAATGTCTCAACTAAAATGCATAATTTGTGAACAGGCATTTCAGCCTACCAGTGTTTGTACTGATAGTATTATGAAGAGGGTAAGTGACACTGTAGTGTCACACTACAGTGTCCATCTGTGTTGCAGGACAAACTGTTACGAGATAGAAGTCCGCTTAAGAGAGTTCACATTTAAAGCAGACATTTTGTGAGCTCCAACTCCTTACCTGCCAGCCAGTTCCTTGTCCAAGTATTTGGCAGCGAGTCTGGCTCCGTACACTTCAGCCTGCAACACTGCCATGTGCCTGCGTAGGGCCTCATTTTCTTTTTTATATAGTCTCACTTCTGCCTCCAGTCGTGCCTCTGCTAACTTCTCCTTCTTACTGGCTTCAAGCTCCTGTTCCTAGAAAAACACAACACAACAAGCACTATCAGCAAGATGAGTGGATGAACAAAAATTTTGCTCTTAAAACACCTTTTCACACCAATTATAATTTATATAATACATAGCATATGTAAATTTATACATTTTAATCTTAACAAGTGTCAATTTATGTATATGATTGGTTCTAGCAGTGTTTCCCTGTTATTTAAATACATTATTTCCAAGAAAGTAAATACCTAAAAAAAAAAAAAAACATTAAGAAAAGCAAAGGGAACCGACAGCTGCAAAGTCGATCCAGTTCTAGTACTGTAATAGTGGGTTGTCAAAGTCAGTATTTAATTATCTCACCCAATGTATCCAGCTTTCCTTGACTATTAGTACTCACCTTGCTGGGGAAAGGGAAACATAATTTATACAACACTCAGGGAAAGCAAAACTCTGCCAGGGCCAAATCAGTTTCCCCATAATGCCATAAAAGCAACATTCCCATGTTAGTTTGACCCTCATAATACGATTGCTTGACCATGAAAACTTGCTACTGGCGTTTGGAACGATGCTGATAAAGGGCTGCAATGATATGAAACGTTCATGGTATGATAACCATCTTAGAAAATATCATTATTACTATTATTATTATTATTATTATCAGCAACAATGACTCTCAAATTATGAAAAGAGAGGGGTCTTTTTTTATTGCAAGTGACTGACAGTTGATTGAGCTGCATTACAGTGCTAGATTGACCCTAAAGAATACAAAGAACTGTAAACATGATTTTTTAAAAAGAACATGTAAATTTAACATGTTATATAGGTAAAGCATGTTAGTTTGCATGCTACCACCAGGATTATGTGTTGATGGCTTGGATCTTGTGTCTCCCATTGAGCACTTATCCTTTGATGGTCCTTCTTGCCTCCTCACTGTGGTTCCCATGTGACTGTGGGATACCAAGGTGAGGTGAGATGGTAAGTGATCAGTATGTCAGCTATGTTGCCCCCTTTGTAGTTCTAACCCATCAGTCTGTACCAGCTTCCCTCTTCTTACTATCACCCGGCCACACTTATCCAGTCTGAATGACATCCCGTTGTCCTCACTGAAGATCCATGTCAGGTGGATTAGTGAGTCGATGTCCCATTCATTCTTTGCATACAGCTTGATGTCATCCATGTAAAGGAGGTAGCTGATGGTATCACCACTCTTGAACTTCTATCCATATCTATTCCTTGTGATGATCTGACTAAGGGGGTTCAGGTCTATGCAGCACAGCAACATGGATAGTGCATCACCTTGGCATATGTTGCACTTGAGGTTTAGACAGTTAAGCTGTGTAGGCAACAGGCTATATGTGTGGATCAGTAGAGGCTGGGAGTGTGTGTAAAAAGTGTGCATGTGTGTAGGTGCATTTAGGAACTGAATGTGTTTAGAGTGTCTGAGGCAAAAAGTGAACAATCTGGGAGAAAAGGAAAATACAAGGTACAAATACATAGATGGTATAAGTATTATTTTCCATTTACCTAAGGCTAGGGTGCAACCTTAACACATACGATGTTTCCAAAGCAGTTATACAGACACAAGTTTCAAGAATGAGAAACAGACGTATATTGCATGAAAAGAACTAAAGCACATAAGCCAATAATTTCCATTACACAATCAGCATCCTTCTCTCTGCCACTTGTTTGCTGCAAGTGTTCAGTACAGTTCAGTTCTGTTTATTTCGGTCTTTAAAACAAAAAAACAAAATAAAACAAAAGTAAGATGGAAAATCCATTTGAACCATGTGCATAATCATGCTCAAAATATATCTGCATATTGTAACTATGCATAGTGTTAGGTTCAGAACAGCATAGTATTGACTGAGAAGGTACAGGCTGAGCCAGTGCTCAATACGCCTACCCTTATGATATTTAACGTCTTACCATACTCCAATTTGTGTGTGTGGCACCTGTTGTGGAGTTTGACAGGCAAGTCAGTGAAGAAACGTACACATGCATTGCATTTTTTTCTTTAATAATGGTAATAACCAAATGTGCATGGTATAATATCCATCAATTTCATACCATGACATACTGCGAAACCAGTACACCGCACTGCAACCCTACACCAATGACATTATTAGTTTGAAAGCCATTCAAAAAAAAACAACAAACATGACAAACATTCACTTGTTGTTTTAGGGGTAAAACAGGGACCTCAGTGAGCGGACTACGGGCAACATGGTGAAGATGCCACATTGCGGGTCTATATTCAATCCAATCAACTTATTTTAAAAATCATATTTTCTGCAGAACACATCCATAAACAAACTTACCATCTCTTCTGGCGATGGAACAGGCTTTATAGGAAAAGAAGCAGAGGAAGAACAGAGACAAGTCAGAGATTAGAAAAAATCAGATTTAAGGCAACAGATGTTGTAAGTTAGCCATTCAATGCAAGTGTCAATTATACTGTAAAGCAGCAGGCCCATCAAGAATAGTATAAAAAGTAACTGAAAGCAATGGAAGCAATGAGAAAGCAGCAGAAAGGAGCACCAAAGCAAAAGGAAGCTTACACTGGTCTTGTAATGGCCACCTCGCACATCTAGCTACATCATCAGTTAAATACACTGTGGCTGGAAAGGAAACTCTAGAGGACGAGACAACTGTTGTGGTTAAACTTAGAGCCCTAAATTTGCAAGGCTCTGCAGGTGAACATTTTATAAATAGAGATATTAATTTTAACAGCAAGCTCTTTCTTTCATTTAAGTCAGTATTTTGATTTGCTAAGGAAAGTGTAGAACAATGACTGGGGAAACACTGGCCACATTTGCTTATCTCCTAAGAGAGAAGCCGTGCCCAAGTGAGCTCGGCACTCAACCCATTGCAGTTTGCATATCGATCTGGCATCGGGGCAGATGACGCTATTATCTACAAGCTGCATCGAGCCCTATCTCACCTGGAGTCCCCCGTAAGCATGGTGATGTTCTTTGACTTCTCCGGTGCTTTCAACACAGTCCAGCCGTCACTGTTGAGGGGGAAGTTGACGCGGGCAGCTGTGGACCAACACCTGTCTGCGTGGATCATTAACTACCTTACAAACAAACCTCCGTTTCTAAGGCTGCACAACTGTGTGCCAGACGTGGTGGTCTGCAGCACGGGGGCGCCCCAGGGGATGGTGCTTTCCCCCTTTCTGTTCACCCTCTACACGTCGGACTTCAAGTACAACTCCCACCAGCGTCACCTACAAAAGTTCTCAGACGACACTGCTATTGTTGGATGTGTATCGGGGGGGGAGACGAGTGGGAATATAGGGGGGTTGTTACTGACTTTGTGGAGTGGTGTGAGAAAAATCACCTGGTCCTGAACACCAGCAAGACAAAAGAGTGATGATGATTTCTGCCAGAGGTCAATCACCATCACTCACACTAAGCTTTCAGGTCTCAGATATTGAGATTGTGGACATCGTTAAATACCTGGGTGTCCACCTCAACAATAAACTGGATTGGACTGAAAACACAGATACCCTGTACAGGAAGGGCCAGAGCCGCCTCCACTTGTTGAGGAGACTGAGGTCCTTTGGTGTGCGCAGGGCACTCCTTCAGACATTCTATGATTCTGTGGTGGCATCTGCAGTTTTTTACACTGTTGTGAATTGGGCAGGAGGTAGCACGGTCAGGGACAGAAAGAGACTCAACAAGCTGGTTAAGACAGCTGGTTCTGTCCTGGACTGCTCTTTGGATTCCATCAAGGAGGTGGCGGACAGAAGGATGCTGGCAAAACTAACATCCATCATGCATAACCCCTCCCATCCCCTGCACCCCACAGTGGTGGCTCTGAATAGTTCTTTTAGCACGAGACCATTACATCCCCAGTGTAAGAAGGAGGGTTACCATAGGTCGTTCCTCCCCACAGCAATCAGACTATACAATACATCACTGCAGGGATAAGATACAGTCTTATGCAAAAGTTTAGGCACCCCTTGATAAATAACAGATTTTGGTGATTTTTTATTTGAACAGATGTTAACACAGTTTTTCGATTTCTCTCTAATACTTTATATTGTCTTGTTTTAGGTATTTGAGTAGTTTTTCAGAGATCCTCATGGCTGAAATACAGGTATTTTCCCCATTGCTGGATTAATTATGGGAGTAATATTCTTGTCCTTGATTTCTTGATCTCTCTTGAATATCTTATATCTTGTCTTGTTCTTGGGTATTTTTGATGTGTTCTCAGGGATTAATTGTGGGAGGATCATTCTAGTTCTTGATTGTCTCTCAAATACTATATTCTGTTTGGTTTTAGGTACTTTGGAATATGTTTATCAACATATGTGTGTGGTGTTTGTTCTTATGGTGTTTTTGTTGCTGCTCTCTATTGCTGCTGGAACACAAGAATTTCCCCATTGTGGGATGAATAAAGTCCTACCCACCTATGAGAATGCTTGTTGTGTCAGAGAAATTTAAAGAGAAATCTCACCAATTTTCAACCTTATCTCTGTCTACCTAAGTTTGGCATAAAGTGTGAACAACAATTTTTATTAATATTCTCTGGCTCATTTTCTAAATCTATAGCTCTTCCGGGAACCAGTGATGTCACTGGTTTGCAGAAGAACCACAAGACCTTTAGCTTTGGATTTCAATCTCGATGCTACCTGCTTGTATTGCAAACCAACTACAGTTCCAGCAAAGAAAATGGCATCTTTTAATATGAGTGCACAGTATTTAATGAATGAGGATGCTTTTTTCAGTGTATTGGCTCAGTCAGATAGCCAGGGTATTTATTCGAGCCAGAGTATACAGCTAAAGAAATCAGCAGAGGGAGGCTGAGGCAGCAGCTGCATTAGCCTAGATTATATTAATAATAAACTTTATTTCTATAGCACTCTCCAGCTCCAAGAGCACCAGAGTGTTGTACAGTAAAAACACACAAAACAATAACACTAGCAAAAAACAGGTAGGTGCAAACACAAAATACTAACCTTGACTAAAATTTAGGTTAGGTCTCAAAAGCCTGCTTAAAAAAGTAAGTTTTTAAGGCCGCCTTAAAGGCCACTAGTTCACTTTCCGCCCTTAATTCTACCGGAAGAGCATTCCACAGTCTAGGGCCTGTTAGGTAATTTCTTAGTTAGATAGATATTGATTAGAGATCTGTTGTATTAGAAAATGTTAGTGTAGCCAGAATGTCTTGCTCAGGCTGTTAAATGCTCAGTTCATTGTCATGAGTTCTGCAGGCTGCATCTAGGCCAAGGTCAGCTAGATTGCAGAGTCTGCCGGCAGGATGAATATTGCTAGTAGCATGATATGCTCAGCCGTAATCTTAATCATAATATTTTCCTAGGCTTAATGTCCGTACATGTCCCTGAATGTCCTGTATGTTCTTAGATACACACCACTTAATCAACACTCACACACATTGATTTTCTCCATGTTTTGACTACTGCTAGTACTGGAGGTGGAAGATGCCTGGACGTGTGATGTTAATTTTGCCTGTGACCCTTTGAATAAACCAGCACGGTTATATTTTTTATATATCCAAGTGGTCTGCGTCGTCTCTCAGAGTTCCTGTTTGAAAGAGCCGGGCAGTATCTTTCAGGCTGTAGATAGAAAAAGATCGGTCGTCCCATTTTTTTGTAGTGGGAGTGCGGCACCACCAGCAACAAATGATCAGCGGAGCGAAGAGCTCTACGCGGCACATATACTGACAGCATGTCAGATAGGTAGGATGGGGTGAGACCATGAATAGCCTTAAAAACAAACAATATGATCTTAAATTTAATTCTAAATTGGATCAGAAGCCAATGAAGAGCACAAAGAATCGGGGAGATATGGGTAAACATGGGAGCATTGGATAGTAGCCGAGCTGCTGCATTTTGGACCAATTGTAATTTCTGAAGCCAAGTCTGGGGTACGCCTACATACAAGGCATTGCAATAATCTAACCATGACATAATAAACGCGTGAATAGCTTTCTCCAGATCCCCATGTGACAAAAAAGGTTTAATCTTCGTTAAGAGTCTTAGCTGAAAAAAAAACAAGACTTAACCACTGCCCTAATCTGTTTCTCAAAAGTAAAACCACCATCAAAAATTATTCCGAGGTTTTTCACCGTGTCAGATAGAGGGAAGACTGAGGTGCAGAGTTTGACTACATCTGGCGGCGGGTAAGAACTAAAAAGAATCTATTTGGTCTTACTCTTGTTCAGATGCAGAAAATTTAGCGCAAGCCATTGCCTAATATCGCAAATGCAATTTTGCAATGGGGTAAGAGCATTGGAGTCAGATAGGAGCAGTGACATGTAAATCTGGACATCATTAGCATAAAAGTGGAAATGAACATTATAGCTAGCTATAATTGCTGCAAGGGGTGCATATATATAATGAGAAGAGCAATGGAGCCAGGGTAGAACCTTGAGGAACGCCTGAAGTGAGAGGAGCTATATTAGAGACACAATCACCAATACCGACCAACAAAGTTCGATCGGTTAAAAAAGTAGAAAACCAGTTTAAGGTGGCGCCTTTAAGCCCAACGAAATGTTTAAGTCTCAACAAGAGGATAGGATGATCAACAGTATCGAACGCTGCAGATAGATCCAATCAGAACTAATAGCACAGAACATTTGGTATCGAGAGCCATAGTGATATCATTATGAGTCTTAAGTAACGCTGATTCTGTACTGTGGCAGGGCTTAAAGCCTGATTGAAACTTATCAATATTTTCACAATCTAAGTGTGACTGCAACTGGGTGAATACGATTTTTTCCAGAATTTTGGACAAAAAAGGAAGAAGGGAAATTGGACGAAAAGACAATAATAGAGAGGGATCCAGATTAGGTTTTTTGAGAAGTGGTCAAACTATCGCATGCTTAAGAGCAGTCGGGACCACACTGGCATACAGAGAGAGATTAATAAACGTGACCAGGGAGGGACTGAGAAATCAAAGTGAAGAAACTAAGAGAATGTAAAACGTGATCCAGGCTGAGTATGTGCTGGGGGCTTTGGCATATTATGCGTGATGTGTAACTAAAACATCCATTCAGACATAATTCTTACACAAGATTAATACAAGAAAACAACTGGTGTCAAGGTACACTTTTTAGAATCAACATTATCTTCTAACCTTGAAGCACAGCACACTAGAGCAGACTTTGAATCTTACTAAACTGCATTAATAACACACATTAAAGTCTAACACATTAAAGTCTAATAATTATCTGACTGATTTATTAATTTCTAACAGGGAACATTTTGATAGTTAATTCTCAACCGCACAGAAGAGGGCATTAATGCAACAAACTTTGGATGCCAGTGTACCAAAAACCTAAGGAAGAAGAGTAAGCAAAAGAAGCTCCTCAAACTTTAAGAAAAAAATCACTATTTATGGAAGAGTGGCTGAAGAAGGGGATTTGGTCTATTGCTCATCTAATGGATGGTAGAGGCAATTTACTGACCTACTCAGACCATGTCAAACAAAGATGGTGACATGCCGCCATCTTGACCAACAGCAAATACAGAGATATACAACACAATACAGGAGCTTGAGGACATATAGTGAGAAATGAATTGGAGGAATTGAGGAGGTTTATAAGTGCTGTTAAATTGTATGCTTCTGCATTGTCTATCACAAAAGTGAATATGGCACAAATATTATCCTAATAATATCTTTTACAAAAAATAGTTTCCTGACTCTAAACAAATGTATTCATTTTGGAGGCTGTAGACAGTAATTCATCCTACCTACCATTCTAACTTTGATGGTGTCAGAGTCCTCATCCTGGCCTTGCTTGGCATGAAGCTGCAGCTGGAGAGCATGAAGCTGTAGCAGCTGGTCATGGACCTCCCTTTCTAACACTGTCCGCTCAGCCTTAGCCTCAGTCAGCTCAGAACGCAAGTCCACCAGCTGAGCCTGGAGTTTAGGGTTGGATGAATGGAGGGAAAGAAATGTGTAAGAAGCAGGGGAATGAGGGAGAACAACAAAGGGAGATATGTGAATGAATGAATGAATAAATTAAGGCTCTTTTTGTCATTGTACATGCACAACAGAAATTAAAGAGCTCTGCTCATTGGGTCTATCAGACAAGCAACATATGAACATACATACCATAATTAACAATTGACAGTCAATAAATAACCTAGTGAATAACCTATCAGAAACCCACTTCAGCTGTTCTAGTTACACTGGGAACCCAAACACCGTCGACGCAGCCACCAGACAGAAAGTTAAACCTGTCTCAGGTTAGTAAAAATCAGGATGCAATTGGAGCCCCAATCTATCAGATGTATCCAGAGTGGAAAAGACAAGTCTTTGCCTTTTTTCAACACCTGCTTATTCCTGTAGTGGCACTGAAAGGTCTGAATAATTTTATTTAACAAATTAATTGCTAGTTCCTTTCACTGTCAACAAAGGGCGATAGCAGCCTGCTTATGGACCAGTATATGACAACCCGAGCAGATTCGTCCCCAAACTGCACTGTTATGACGACCATAGCCTAGCAACAGCCACACACACCAATTCTTGCACCCTCCTGGTGTGTCATCTTATATGATGATGATTAAATAAAAAAAATGGGGGGGGGCATATTTGCAAGCTGCACTGGTGTTCCTAGTTACAAAATTTAGTCACAAAGTGTGACTAACTTGGTCACAGTCTGGTGCCGTGCATTACATATTAGTTTTAAGCTGTATAAGCTCCAACATGTGGTCATAAAGCTTGAACTCTGTGTCTGAGTTGCTATATAAAGCAGTTTTCTCAAAATGGCAGTTGTGGGGGCAAGTTGAGCCAGTGGTTGAACTTAGCCCAGTCATTCCCATTCATATTTTCTTAAAATTAGGTTAAATTAATGAACATGTTCAAATGTTTTTTTCTGATATTTCAGAGTATATAGATGAGTTTCCTGTCAACAGACTTTGGATGATGACTCCGCATCAGGGGAGTAGAAAGCACGCTAGTACACCATTATGTTTGCTTATTTTTTGGAGGTTTTCATCATTTTGAAATAATCAGTTCAGCAAAGCCCTTCTTTAATAACAGACCATATATGAACTTTCACTGAAGTGATGTTACCTCAGTTATCACCATGGACATTATATCAAAAGTTGTGAACAGCCCACAAAAAAATCTTTATTCCACATTTTATGACACTTACAGTATATAAACAAATAATATTAGGCATTTTAACATAACACGATTAACTTTATCACTGTAATTTTTATCATGACGTTAGCTTGGTTCTATAGTTTTTAGTGTCATTAGCTAGCTTAACTGTGAAGTCAATAGAGATGTCACCTGTCTCTTATAAATTAGGATCAGCTTGTTCTTACAAATCTCTACCACATTCAGCCAATGCAGGATGCAGTTGGACTGCTTCTGACTCACTTTACATGAACAGTAAAGTTTAAAAAAGAAGATGGGGCTGAAAACCTCAAAGAAAGAAGTTAAAATAATATTAGCCTTCAAATAGTTGTGCATCTAGCAGCAGTAACTGTGCAGACAATAAAGAGGGTTCAAGACAACTCCCAGTGAGTCCAGTACAAACACCAGTCAACTATGAAAGCATATACTGGCAAGAAAAAGTATGTGAACCTTTTGGAATTTCATTGTTTTCTGCATTAATTTGACATAAAATGTGATCTGATCTTCATCTAAGTCAAGAGCACTGATGAATATAATGTGCCTAATATAACAACACAAAAAATTCTGATCTTTCATGTCTTTATTGAGAACAACCATAAAAACCTCACAGTGCTAGTGGAAAAAGTATGTGAACCCTTGAGTTAATAACCTCAAAAAAGCTAATTGGAGTCAGGTGTTAGCATACCTGGAGTCTAGTTAAGAAAATGAATTTGGAGGTGTGGACTAGAGCTATTTTGACTGATAAAAAACAGGGCAGCCTCCTCGCTCTTTAGAGCAGAAATAAGAGCTTTGGGATGTCTTCCATCATACTGGACCAGAATGACTTCCGGGTCAAGCACGGATTGAGTTATGATAAAAAATAAAGGAATTGAATTCACCTACTGAGTCTCAGTCACTCCGCTTTGTTCTCTACCCCTGTGATACATGCACATGTTGCTCAGAAATAATAAATATTAATAAAAATAATAATAAACCAAGGCAGCCATCTGTAAACATGTTTATGTCTGCTGTAAAGTTTGAGTCTATGGGGATTGACTCCTATTGGAAGCCAGGCTCAAGCAACCATTTGAGAAACTGCAGGATTTGGCACTTCCGCATTGGCTTCATTTCTCGTTCCCGGAGGTTCCCTCTTAGGATCAAGTTGGACAGAAAAATGGCATCATTTTGCGCAGATCTGGGTTCTCTCAAACGCGCCTATAAGATGGGTCTTTGTTGCTATAAGGAATTACCCAGTTCTCGCGAGAGGTCTCCGAGACAGTGATGCAGAGTTACATAGTGCAATAACATAACTTTAATTTTTGTGGATGCAAAGTATATATAGCAACTACTGTTTGAAATAGATAAATACAAAAATAAGTATACATTCATTTTGCCAAAGAATCATATGTAAAAGTGGCTCATTTTGCCCCGTTTTCCCATACATGTAACACCGTTCATTAAGAACCAAACAACTGCCATACCGAAATAATAAGAGTGACAGCAACGTTGCCATTATTTGCCTGTCGATCTCGACAGGAGAATCTGCATGTAACCTCATAGAGGAAACTTGAAAATGTAATGTTAATTGTGCGTCATATAAGAGTTACTAACCTCTAGTTTATGGTTGAGTTGGAAAACCGTCTGGGTTTTGTGACACAGCTGAGCAAAACAAGAGCTTAGGCTGGTCATCTTCTGCCGACCCTCGTATGTAATATCGACTTGATCTGGATCTATTTCTCCGAGCAGCAGATCCACATCTACGAAGGCCTTGTCAAACTCTTTCTCCAGCACTTCCAGCCAACGAAACATGGACATACCGGGACCAAGGCCCGACGGGGAGCATCCAGCCGAAACGGACATGACTAGAGCACAACAGAGCCTTAACGATGGTTTTAGCTCACAAGCTAACTTTTATTGAGAGTACCTAATGTAAATGACTTCCCTCTCTGCTGACCACTGCAAAATAACTTGAAAATTAAACTGCGTAGTGCATTAACACATAAAAGTATCGACTAACTGCGTTGTCTAAGTCTTGTGTAACCACAGTCTGACCAGGAAGTTCTACATTAACGCTAGCCTGACGATTCCATCTGGGATGGATCTACTACAGTCTGCCCGAGAACAGGCAAAAGCAATGGGTAACAGAATGGTTAGCCTTAGATCCTAAAACTCGCGAAGTTTGGGGAGCTTTTTTTTTTTTTTGAACATCATATTTACAAACATACTAAGTAAAATTGTCTTACAGAACCCATTAAGAACTGAGCAACAAATCACACATCTTAATAACAGAACAGAACAAAGTAATAAATTGAAGAGAGAGAGAGAACAAAAATAATAATAACATAAAATTAATTAAAACATATAACCAGGGGCTTATAATAAATCAAATCGTCCAATTGCAGATAAAAGACCTCGGGCTCCTTTAACACTCATGTAGCCTAGGGATGCTTTAAATGCCGATATTTCATGCCTAAACGCATCTAAACAACGTTGCCTTTTACTCCATTTACATTTATGAATATAATATTTTGCCAAAATGATATGGTTATTCACCAAGAATTCCATGTCTTTTTCTTTCAGAGATATATCAAATTTGATCCTTTCTAATGTGAAGGGTGCTAAGAAATCAGTTTTGGACCTGAGCCAGTCACTTAAACATGCCCAAAAGTTAGATGTACAATTACAACAGAAAAACAAGTGATCTGTGGTCTCTGTCTCAGTTGCAAAAAGTACAACGGTTCTCATCCATATTAAATTTCATTTGCAAGAATTCTTTAGAGGGGTAGAATTCTTTCAGCATCTTGAAATGCATCTCTTTGGCTTTAGGAATTATGGGGAGTGAGATGTATCGCTTTCTTATTTCACAAGCCATATGGCCTGCAAGACGATAATACATAGTTTCTTCTTGCAGGTGGAGGATAACATATATTAAGAAGCTGAGCTCTGATAAAGGAGTTGGAACATTGCTCATCAACCACATTTATGTTGCTGACTATTAAAGGACATAGTTCTGGATTGACAGAAGAGTACAAAATATCCTGTGACACCATCTGTTTAAGCTGGAAGGGAACAGCGTGAATAATCCTCTCGTATGCATTTCTTGATGAAGACAAGTTAAATTTCATAGATACTTCAGAATAGGTCAGTAAATTGCCTCTACCATCCATTAGATGAGCAAAAGACCAAATCCCCTTCTTCAGCCACTCTTCCATAAATAGTTATTTTTTTCTTAAAGTTTGAGGAGTTTCTTTTGCTTACTCTTCTTCTTTAGGTTTTTGGTACATTGGCATCCAAAGTTTGTTGCATTAGTGCCCTCTTCTGTCCGGTTGAGAATTAACTATCAAATTGTTCCCTGTTAGAAATTAATAAATTAGTCAGATAATTATTAGACTTTAATGTGTGTTATTAATGCAGTTTAGTGAGATTCAAAGTCTGCTCATGTGTGCTCTGCTTCAAGATTAGAAAATAATGTTGACTCTGAGAAGGGTACCTTGATACCAGTTGTTTTCTTGTATTAATCTTGTGTAAGAATTATGTCTGAATGGATGTTTTAGTTACACATCACACATACAACATACACACACACACATGGAATTCTTCATTTTGTTATGTCCATGTGCTCCAAGCATGCAGAGCTCTAGATAAGAGAAGGAGACGTCGGACTGTCTCCAGCTCCTGATGTTTTTACAGCTGTCTGTGTAAGGGGTGTTAGGTAATTTCTTAGTTAGATAGATATGGATTAGAGATCTGTTGTATTAGAAGATGTTAGTGCAGCCAGGATGTCTCCTCAGGCTGTTAAATGCAAGGTTAGTTAAAGCAGAAAGGCGGCAGTCAGGGACAAATGTTATTATGACGGTAAAAGTAACCATAATATTTGTCTTAATGTGTAATGTTATGTCAAATTGTTTTAGATACACACCACGAAAACAACAGCCACACACATTATTTTCTTCATGTTTGGTCTACTGCTCTGCTCAGCTGCCAAGCTGGCATATCAGGGTACGTCACGGTTCGACAGCCCAGAAAGGATTAATATTGTATAGCAATGCTTGGTTCGGGGTGTTTTCCTGTTTCCGGGCTGCTTGGGCAGCCTGGGGGGTGTGTATGATGTGGCGAGTCAATGTGTGTGGCTTCATTCACTTTTCCAGCTCATGAATTTCCTTTGTGTTTTGGTTAGCCAGGCTGCTAACATAGCCTACTCTACTGTTGTATGTTGGACCTGGTACCACGCTAACTCTGAAAGACGAAGCAGTCCAAGTAACTTCAAAACAGTGCTGATTTATTCAATGAACACAGGTAAAAATTAACATTACACGCTCAGGTATCTTGCACCTCCAACATGCACGCAGGCAGCTGAAAGATGAAAGACCCTGAACCACAACAGGCCTATACATTATATCACTTCGGGCTAACCCCATACTACAAGGAGAGACGCCAAGCCGTGGCGTCTCCCAGGGACAGCTTTGCAGCTGCCCAGAGCAGCAGCCAAAACACGAGGAAAAATCAATGTGTGAATGTCTGTTGATTATGTGGTGTGTAGCTAAAAACATTCTAACACGACCTCTAGTGACATGTCATGACATTAAACAGAACATATTATGGCTAAGGCTACAGTTATACACGTCATAATAATAATATTAAACATCCTGTCTTCTAACAGTCATCAACTTTCTATTTAGTTATCCTTGACCATAAGCATCCTGCAGCAACTCATAAGAATGACTAAGCATTTAACAGCCTGAGCTAGACAGCCTGGCTCCACTAAACATTTCTAATACAACAAATCTCTAACAAATATCTATCTGACTAAGAAATTACCTAACACTCTAAATAAGAGATGAGTCTCCAGACTGACTTCATCTGTGGTTTTCTAATCTTTCTGTGTAAGAGGTTAGCCAAAACTTATAAATGTATGAGTCCCAAAACTTAGAAATGAGCAGTCTTTGAATCTTACTGAATTGCATTACTAACACATTGTCTATCGATTACTAATATCTAACAACAACTCGGGCTTTCAATTAAAGAACTGGGTTTAACACATTCATAATAAATTCAAAGAACAACTGGCATAGTTGGTGGGCTGTTATAATAACTTTATTTGCAGTCTGCCCCTTATTTTGCCAATGATGCCCCTTTTGACTACAGCATTGGGAGTAGTTGAACACCTCAATATTAGTTTACTTCACTCAGCTGTTCATATATGGGGTTCTCAAACCTTTTCAGGTCAGGGACCCCTTAGGGGAAGACATTTCCTAAATGACTGCCTTCTGTTATACATACAGCATAAATATAGCATGTAAACATTTATACAGAACAGTTACCACAATTTTAAAACATCTATAACATTTGCACTGCACAATCTCAGCTGTTTCTTGCCATTTGCAGCTTACCTGAATTTAGCGAGACATGTATGCCTGTCTTTCACTAAACAGTTTCTCAGTTCTTGGATTTATAGTTGACAGGTAGACTCTCATGTAATTTTTCACACATAAAGCTGCCCTGTGCTTAGGCTTTAGTGCAGTCAGTGTGGAGAACAATGACTCACAAAGGTAAGTTTTAGAGGAAGGAAGCAAACATTTTATTAACCCCAGCAGCTGCTCTTCTGCCTTACCAGTCAGGCCACTTGAAGCTGTTGTCGCTGGGGCAAAAGGATCTCACACCCAGTCCCAAGCATCAGTGTTCAAAGCAGAGAAATATGAGTTAAGTGCTGGCTAGTGCAGTGAGGTCTTTCAATACATCCACAGACAGGTTATTCATGCATAGAAAATCCACAAGCTGGAGAAACATGTGGCTCTGTTTTTTAAATAAATGCAGAGAATTTAGGTGCATCTTCCTTGGATAGATAGGTTGAAGCTGTTTAGTGAGCTGAATATGCCAGATAGGCCAATTTCAGCAGCCAGATAAAAGTATATAAACATCTGGTTTTACATCCTTCATAAACTCAGAGATCTCACTGCATAGCTGGAAGATCCTCTGCAAAACCTTCCCTCAGGACATCCATCACACTTTATAAACAAACTGACTGGAATGCTTATTATTTTCCAAAATTCACAGTGGTCAGAACAGTGTTCAAAATCGAGTGAAGCTCTGGCTCCATACCTTTGGATGCACATGCCTGCTGGTGCAGCATCCAGTGCATCCCCACTGCATTCAGGTTGACAGCTTTTGTCCTTACAATAATTCCACTCTTGTGGCCCATCATTGCAAACAAGCATGCAGTTTTTCCAGCTCAGTCTTACTCTCACCATGAATACATTCAGCAGTTTAAATAATTGCCTGATACTCTTCCAGGCCCTTCCTTTCAGAAGACAAACTCTTCCAGAATATTTTCTTTCCATGGATTGCAAACTAATCTACTTTTGAAAATGTTCAAATTTATAAGGTTGTGTGCAGACTCCTTTGGTCTTTATTAAGTTACACAAGAGCAAAATGAATAAAAACAATCACACACACGGACTGCAGATGGAAATGAGCTATTAACAAACCATGGTAAAACATCTCTTCTCATTGCATGAGATTGTTTCTTTTATACATGGTCCCGATAAATGCACTTTAGAATAATAATAACATACAGTATATTAACTTTTATTTACCCCAAGAACAAACAGTTTTTTGCACACCTTGATTATTCATCCACTGATCTGGCCAGGTTTGTTTTGACCACATGTCCATCTCTTCGTCCCCTCAGATGTGCCAGGTACATCTGAGGTTTGGGTGTGTTGCTCTCGCCATCTCTCTTGCTTTGACAGGCAACGTTCTTGAGCAGCCAGGTCTGAGTAACATTTTCGCGTCTCATATGGCTCAGTTCTGTCTGCGAAGACTTTGTCACTTTGGTCAGAAGATCAGCCTAGAATTACAGAAATACAAAAACCTTAATTTTTCATTTAATGAAGAAGGTTGATTAGGTCAGAACTAAAACTGATGTTTACAGTGTCAGATTAAACCAGACACAAAAACACTACACAACAGTATATCTACCCACAGACAAAGGTGTTTACAGAGTTGTAAAATCCTATGATAACAAAGTTATCATAACAGAAACAGTTTATGACAGCTGCCAAGGGAAACAGCAGAAATATGGCATTCACATTACAAAGTAATCCAGCAGTGTCTTGGCAGATGGTAACAGAGGTTGTTGGATCAGATGTCCCTGCATTTTTTTGCCAGGTACATCAGTGTTGGTAGCAATTTTTTTGCCATTATGTGAACGTGGCCAAATTTCTTGGAATGTTATTCGATACCAAAAAGTACTTGAAAATACCTCTTTCCAAAATGACATTGTGATTATGGACATAAGAACATCTTGTGAATTCATATGGCTCACCAGTTTGATAGCTTTTCGTCGCAGCTCCCACTCATTCCACTCATATGAATTGACAACGTTTGTTTCCAGAGGGTGGATATCGGTCTGTGTGCTGCTCTCACACTTGGTGACATGCCTTACCAGCACACTCGATCCTGGCTGCATGTGCAAAACCACAAGTAATTTGCTACTGCCACAGTGCTATTCTCAATACTACCAGCAGACTGTGGCCAAGTGAAAAAGTCATGAATCATGTAAGTAGAGGTTTTAATGAATGTATTTTGAATGTGCATTTTGGCTACCAATGCATAAAAAGATATTAGTGAAATCTGCTAAACAATAAGAATACAAAACATAATGTATGTTGTAAAGCTATGGCTCAAAGTACTGTGCTTTGAAAATACCAAGTACGGAAGGACCAAGAGAACACTGCTCACCATACAGTACGGACTAATGCTGGAAAACTGTTGGAGTTTGAGGAGATGAATGAGTTCAGGGGAGATCTTGGCTCTTTCTGCAATTTCTGCAATGAAGTCATCTGGATTGGAAGAAAATTTCAAGGCAGCTTTCTTGGAGCTAAAAACATAGAGCTTCTCCTTATGTTTCAGGATTCCAATGTTTGGATTACCTACAAAAGATGTATGAAATATTCAAAACAAAAATGACTAAATTTTGGATTCCCATTAAACAGAACATACAGATTCAAGAAAAAAAAAATCACAAAATTGGTGGAAATAAATGATATGTAATATTAGATATAAGGTACATGGATAAAAGGTGCTTCACACATTTGTCAGTTAAGTTCTTGTCAGATGGTCTAATAGCATTTGAAACACACTTTTACACAGCACAGTCAAATGCGAGCGCCTGGTGGCCGGGTGGGGACCTCCTCCCGTGGGCCAACCACCTGCAGGAGGATCCACTCAATGCTCACGTGGGCGACGACAGTGACACCTAGAGGGTCGTGATTGGGAGGAACGGTCCCCCTGATCTGAACCCGAGTGGTGCTCTGTTATTGGACTTCTTTGCTAGTCACAGTTTGTCCATAACAAACACCATCTTTCAAGCATAAGGGTGTCCCATCAGTGCACGTGGCACCAGGACACCCTAGGCCGGAGGTCGATGATCGACTTTGTGGTTGTTTCATCTGACCTCCGGCCGTATGTCTTGCACATTCGGGTGAAGAGAGGGGCTGAGCTGTCAACTGATCAACACCTGGTGGCGAGTTGGATCCGATGGCGGGTGAGCAAGCTGGACTGACTTGGTAGACCTAAACGTACTGTGAGGGCCTGTTGGGAACGTTTGGCAGAACCCCCTGTCAGGGAGATCTTTAACTCCCATCTCCGGCAGAGCTTCGACCAGATCCCGAGGGAGACTGGACATTGAGTCCGAGTGGACCATGTTCTCCACCTCCATTGCTGACGCAGCCACTCGGAGCTGTGGCCGTAATGCCTCCAGTGCCTGTCGCAGCGGCAATCCCTGAACCCGGTGATGGACACCGGAAGTAAGGGATGCCGTCAAGCTGAAGAATGAGACATTTCATTCCTGGTTGGCTCATGGGACCCCTGAGGCAGCTGACGGGTACCGGCAGGCCAAGCGGACTGCAGCCCGGAACTGGGGATATCGTCGGATGGTGGAAGGAGTACTTCGAGGATCTCCTCAACCCCAGCGTCACGTCTTCCAATGGGGAAGCAGAGGCCGGGGGCTTGGAGGTGGACTCGTCCATCACTCAAGCTGAAGTCACTGAGGTAGTTGAGAAGCTTCTCGGTGGCAAGGCACCAGGGGTGGATGAGATACGCCCTGAGTACCTTAAGGCTCTCGACGTTGTGGGGCTGTTTTGGCTGACACACCTCTGCAATAGCGCGTGGTGGTTGGGAACAGTGCCTCTGGACTGGCAGACCAGGGTGGTGGTCCCTTTTTTTAAGAAGGGGGACCGGAGGGTGTGTTCCAACTACAGTGGGGTGAAAAAGTGTTTGCCCCCTTACTGATTTCTTATCTTTTTGCATGTTTGTCACACTGTAATGTTTCAGATCGTCAAACAAATTAATATATTAGTCAAAGATAACACAAGTAAACACATCATGCAGTTTTTAAATGAAGGTTTTTATTATTAAGGGAAAACAAAATCCAAAACTATATATATGACCAGGGCAGGAGCTTGGTTCGGACTGCTGGCAGTAAGTCAGACCTGTTTCCGGCGCATGTTGGACTCTGGCAGGGCTGCCCTTTGGCACCGGTTCTGTTCATTATTTTTACGGACAGAATTTCTAGCTACAGCCTGTGGCCGGAGGGAGTCCGGTTTGGGGACCACAGGATCTCATCTCTGCTTTTTGCAGATGATGTTGCCCCAAACCAGGACCTTCAGTGTGCACTGGGACAGTTTGCAGCCGATGTGTGAAGCGGCTAGAATGAGAATCAGCACGTCCAAGTCTGAGGCCATGGTTCTCAGTCGGAAAAGGGTGGTTTGTTCCCTTCAGGTTGGTGGAGAGTTTCTGCCTCAAGTGGAGGAGTTTAAGTATCTTGGGGTCTTGTTCATGAGTGAGGAAAGGATGGAATGGGAGATTGGCAGGCGGATCGGTGCAGCTTCTGCAGTAATGCGGTCGATGTACTGGTCTGTCATGGTGAACAAGGAGCTGAGCTGCAAGGCGAAGCTCTCGATTTACTGGTCGATCTACGTTCCTAGTCACACCTATGGTCATGAGCTTTGGGTCATGACCGAAAGGGCAAGGTCCTGGATACAGGTGGCTGAAATGAGCTTTCTCCACAGGGTGGCTGAGCGCACCCTTAGAGATAGGGTGAGGAGCTCGGTCACTTGGGAGGAGCTCAGAGTAGAACTGCTGCTCCTCCACATCGAGAGGAGCCAGCTGAGGTGGCTTGGGCATCTGTTTCGGATGTCTCCTGGGCACCTTCCTGGGGAGGTGTTCCGGGCATGTCGTACCTGGAGGAGGCCCCGGGGAAGACCTAGGACATGCTGGAGGGACTATGTCTCTCGGCTGGGCTGCGGATGGCCAGGGGTTTCCGGAGTAGCTGGAGGAAGTGTCTGGAGAGAGGGAAGTCTGGGCATCTTTGCTTAGACTGCTGCCCCCGCGACCCGGGCTCAGAGAAGCGGAAAAAGATGGATGGCAGGGTCACTGCTCTCTTGGTGTCTTGTGGAGTTGCTTCATAAATATGGGGTTCCTATTCTGTCCATGGCATTAATGGACAGAATCTTAATGTGCAGCTGATGGGACAGTGTGTGTCCAGTTTCATGCCCTCAGGATTGAATATGCCTTTATCATTTTGCCAGCACCATATCCTGCCTGAAAATTGTAGCTAGCCCCCTACAGGTTGGGAGTGAGTCACTGACCAAGTTAAGGAGTATCTTAAGTATCTTGTTCCCAAAGGAGGGCAACATGGAGCAGGACACGGCGACATGGTGCAGTGTCAGCTGCAACACAGGCTTTGTACTGGGCTATAGATGTGAACAGGGAACTCAGCCTCAAGGCAAAGTTCAATCTACCACTGATGTTGAACATCAGTGCTTACCTATGCGTTTTGAGTAATAACGGAAATAATGACATCAGGGATACAAGCAACCAAAATAAATCTTTCTTTTCTGTTGCTTCACACTGAAACAAGTCTGCTGAAGTGGTTTAGGCATCTGATTAGTGTGCTTTCGGTACATGAATGAACACAATTGCCTTTACATGTGATCAAACAACACTTCATGTGACCTGGTTTCTTTGAAGCATGATGAGGCCTTTATTATGAGCCTGAATTTGACAAAGACAGAACATCTACAGTGGTGTGAAAAAGTGTTTGCCCCCTTACTGATTTCTTATCTTTTTGCATGTTTGTCACACTGTAATGTTTCAGATCGTCAAACAAATTTATATATTAGTCAAAGATAACACAAGTAAACACATCATGCAGTTTTTAAATGAAGGTTTTTATTATTAAGGGAAAACAAAATCCAAAACTATAGAGCCCTGTGTGAACAAGTGTTTGCCCCCCTGTCAAAACACTGGTTTATCGCACCTGAGTTCAATTTCTCTTGCCACACCTGTTCGCAATCAAGAAATCACTTAAATAGGACCTGCCTGACAAAGTGAAGTAGACCAAAAGATCCTCAAAAGCTAGACATCATGCCGAGATCCAAAGAAATTCAAAAACAAATGAGAAAGAGAATAATGGAGCTCTATCAGTCCGGAAAAGGTTATAAAGCCATTTCTAAAGCTTGGGGACTGCAGCACAAAAGACCCCACAACAACATCCAAAGAACTGCAGGCCTCACTTGCCTCAGTTAAGGTGAGTGTTCATGACTCCACCATAAGAAAGAGACTGGGCAAAAATGGTTTGCATGGCAGAGTTCCAAGACGAAAACCACTGCTGAGCAAAAAGAACATAAAGGCTCGTCTCAGTTTTGCCAGAAAACATCTTGATGATCCCCAAGACTTTTGGGATAATACTCTGTGGACAGACGAGACAAAAGTTGAACTTTTTGGAAGGTGTGTGTCCCATTATGTGTGGCGTAAAAGTAACACCGCATTTCAGAAAAAGAACATCATACAAACAGTAAAATATTGGTGGTGGTAGTGTGATGGTCTGGGGCTGTTTTGCTGCTTCAGGGCCTGGAAGACTTGCTGTGATAAATGGAACCCTGAATTCTGCTGTGTACCAAAATATCCTGAAGGAGAATGTCCGGCCATCCGTTTGTGACCTCAAGCTGAAGCGAACTTGGGTTCTGCAGCAGGACAATGATCCAAAGCACACCAGCAAGTCCACTTCTGAATGGCTGAAGAAAAACAACATGAAGACTTTGGAGTGGCCTAGTCAAAGTCCTGACCTGAATCCAATTGAGATGGTGTGGCATGACCTTAAAAAGGCAGTTCATGCCCGAAAACCTTCCAATGTGGCTGACTTACAACAATTCTGCCAAGATGAGTGGGCCAAAATTCCTCCACAGCGCTGTAAAAGACTCATGGCAAGTTATCGAAAACGCTTGATTGCAGTTGTTGCTGCTAAGGGTGGCCCAACCAGTTCTTAGGTTTAGGGGGCAAACACTTGTTCACACAGGGCTATATAGTTTTGGATTTTGTTTTCCCTTAATAATAAAAACCTTCATTTAAAAACTGCATGATGTGTTTACTTGTGTTATCTTTGACTAATATATAAATGTGTTTGACGATCTGAAACATTACAGTGTGACAAACATGCAAAAAGATAAGAAATCAGTAAGGGGGCAAACACTTTTTCACACCACTGTAAATACCCTTCCTGATGCCGTATTGATGTATCATGAAAATAGTACCTGGAAGAAGGAGTCCATTTCTGTTCACAAGCATGTAGCCACAGATTCCATTATACTGTAGTGGCAGATCATTAGAACCGGCTGTTGTATCAGGCAGGAGCCATTCTTGTGCCTTCATTTCAGATGGAACAATATGCTCATCTGAAAAGCATAATGAAGAAAGACAACTGAATTTAAGCTCAGCACTTAGGTAAGCTTGGTTCAGAGTGCAATTTTGTTAGACTTGTAAAACATGGAATTCATCATTATGGAGATAGACACACTATGTGTTGGTGATAGAAAGGGTATTTCCATTACAAGAGCCTAACAAAATGAGTGAAACTGAGTAATGCTTGTCACAGGTTCTGAATTTGTTTCCACTGGCCTCTGCCTGCTTTAGAGGTGCACTCCAGGAGCTAAATTTCAGCACCCCTCAGGAGCTAGTACTAAAATTGAGGGGGAGGGGATAGGTGTGTGCAGAGTTGTCGCTCAGATTTAAATGTCAGTGTTCTCACACCTCTAGCATTAGCATTATAAGCACAATGTGTAAACACTCACTGGTAAAAGGAGGCCATCATTTGGTTGGTTTAGGGGGCGAAACAGGGACTTCAGTGAGGGGACTGTGGGCAAAGTGGTGAAGGTATCACATTTCTGCTAGTTTGTGTTCTCCTTGTTCAACAGCTGTTTGATTAACTGCTCATACAGTCTCTGTTACTGGCTGATTGTTGCACTATGGAGTGATACTTCACATCCTCTGCTGAGCTGTGTGTTTGTGTGTGAGAGGAGCACAGCCCCTCCCTCCTCTAAACATAAACCAACAACACACTGAAAAATACAGTGGAAAAGCAAAGCAGGATGGTCCGCATCAGCCCGTGAGGTTATGCCAGGTGACAGTTAAGGGAATCACGTGGCGTACTGCTCATTAGGTTCAGCTAATGGAAAGGCAGCTAGACATACCTGATGACTCAGTCATTCTTTGTTCATCTGTCTTCACCTCTGAAGTTTCCAGCAAGCTATCCAAATAAGCTTCAGAAAAAATCTTGGCCTGAGAGGTGAGAAAGGGCTGCAGATTGAGCCTGATGTTATTGAGGATATTCAGCAGCTCAGCCTCATCCTGAAGTCCACACCACAGTTTTGATAGGGCCTTGAACAGTGGCTGAAAGCCAGTTTTACAAATGACAGAAATTAGTCTTTAGAATTAACAAAAACTATTATTTTAATGCACAGTTAATCAAAATGCATTAGGGCATACAATTGGTGACAAATATACTAAGAACATGAAAGGCATAAAAATAGCAGAAAAAAAATTGCAATTCTCAGCTGAATAGGAATGCATGTGCTGGCGACAGGTACCACTGTTGAGAATCACATTCCTAGTCTCTGAATCGGTGGAAAGGAACTTTATTTACCCTGCACCGATTTTCTGCTAGATATTGAATCTACTGACCAGTATGTGCACATAAAGTAACAGCTTAGCATTTTCATAAATGTGCTCATTTGTGCTAGCTGCTTCCCCTGCCTCCAGTCTTTATGTTAAAGACATAGATAGATATATACACTACATGCGTCACTGCGTACGCCATGTTACCACAGGGTATGTCAGCCTCCTAATGCATGTCTGTGTATGAGGGCAGGATGTCTATCCACACTAAAATCATCATAACTCACTGAATTGATTTTTCAGCTGTTTGGTTTGTTACAAAGATCAGAGATGTATTTATGATATAGGGTGTCTTATTAAATTAAAAATGCTGATTTTCATATCAAAACATTTTAGCTTTTGCAGATTGTAACAAAATATTTATATAAAATAGAACATAAAATTTGTAATTATTACAAAGTAAGAATCCTGCCATCCCTCTGTATTGTAAAATTGCTGCCATATAATAATTACAACCAACGCTAAAGTGAAAAGAGTAAATGCATATTTTGACAGGCTACACAATTCTCCTTTTAATTACATTTCTAGTGAAATGTTCATACTTTCCTCATTTATATTTAATTTCACTTTATTTACATGCAATATTTATACACAGTATGTATTGGAAGGGCTGGGAGGAATTTAACAGTTTAATATACTGTAGATGTCAACAACATCAAAATGCAGCACAACAGATTGGCTTTTTTTACTAATAAATCTGGCCAGAACAACCAGACTGGCAATATCGCGGCTTGTGAGACTCATTTCAGAAGTCCTGATGTGGCATCTAATGTATCTACGAGCTTGTCTAAACACATACTGTCTCCAATTCTGTACTTAACCCAGGGACAAGACTGATATCAATCTTTTTAACAGACTTGCAGAATGAAAGCATATACTGTTTCCCAAATGTTGAACTATTCCTTTAAAAGAGGATATAACAGGTCATAATACTGTAAGTCGTAATTGAGAATAAAATACCTACAAAAACTTTCACAGTGGGTACAGCTGTCTTTGACTGCACAGTTTCTTTTAGCAGCTTCATCTGTAATGAGAGCTCCCTCTGCAGGATTTCAACATTTTTGGCACATAAACATGCATCTGCCTAGTGGGAAAAAAAACATTTTTTTAAACACACAGGGACATAAAATATGAATTTACCTGTCCTCTCCTATGCTGCTAATAATGGGTAATTATAGTGAAGGCAGATGTGATGTAAGTTAAATGAAAATACCACTATTATGCATATTATAATTATGAGCTATTGTTGCCTCACCAGTAGCATTCTGAGGAAAGCTTCATGTTGCCTGACGTTGTACAGAGCCTGCTGGAGCAGAACAATGGGAATGTCACATTCTCCAGGCTGACAGACAGATTCCATTAGCTTCTCCAGCACAGCTGTATACTTCCACGCTAAACTTTGTGAGACACTCATTTCACTTTCTATGCTTTTATTGATTACTGGAAGAGCTTCATTAATAACTGTGGGCACTGAAAAGAGAATGTAAAAAGAAAAATCATAGTTATTAATTGCAGCATTGTTCATTGGTAAAGATGTTAACCTACTGTGATGATGTAGCTGAAGACAGTATGAAAACTTTATACCTTTTGGTTAATTTTTTTTATTTTATTTTATGTAAAAATATTAACAGCTATTTTCCAGTGTGGGAACCTGTGGTCTTGACCTTCCCATAATCAAGCATCTAGATTCTTCTGTGTGTTATACACACCAAACATTTTTGATATAGAACAATGAAAAAGCAACACCCAGACAAATGTTTTTCATTTTAAGTGCTGTTTGATAGGCAGGTGTGCCCAGTGCACGTCAACTACTGATATAAAAAGTGCAACAAATATAAGTACATTTGTGTTACATTTGCATTGGGTGATTTTTAAAACTCAGTATCATTAAAGTAACAACGGTCTCATCCACAGCAGAAGGTAGAATTTATCAGAAAGAAGTGTCACAAGACTAGCTCCCACCTTGTTCACCAGCTCTCCCTCAACTGGCTGCCCTGAAGGATGGACCAGTAGCTGCCACTATCACAGCTCAGAAACACTGAACTGAGAGATACTGAGGAACAGTTCAAATTAAGGATGTCCTGATCCAGTATTATTGACCCCAATACCAATCTAATTCTGTCATGATCACTACCATTTCTGGGTATGGATCAGGGTGTCAGGAGGTAGAGCGGGTCGTTTCCTAACTGGAGGATTAGTGGTTTGATTCCCAGCTTATGCAGTCAACATGTCGAAGTGTCCTTGAGCAAGACACTTCGACATGTGCTCATTTGTGTGAGCATTTGAGAGTGCGAATGGGTGAATGGCCAAGTATTATGAAAGTGCTTTGAGTGTGCTGCAAAGCGTAGAAAAGCGCTATACAAGTATAAGACCATTTACCATTAATATAGCAGCTTGAGTGACTTGTTTGTCTCAAAAACACAACTGAGTCCACTCAAATACAGGACTGTAATTCTAAATTTGGATCAGAATTGGGTCAGCTTTATTCTGGCTGATACAGATCCTGGGAAATATGCCCAGATCGGCGCAGATACCAATACTTAGTATTGGATCAGGACATCTCTAGCTGCAGCTGTGTGTACTGGTCATGCATAAGGATGGCTGTGCTGACATCACTGGAGGATCTAGACAATGTGGTGATGAAATGAGAGAGAGTGTTTCAAAATCGTTCTCATTCCCTGTAAAACTGTGTTGCTAAAATTGCAATGCCTTCATTTGGTGCAGATAATATGAGTTGCCAGGTCTTCTTCCTGTTGCTTTCATGCTTCCTAGTGTGCTTTTCTGCCTCACTCCTGGTGACAAAGTCCAGAAAGATATGGGACCAAGGATGGTAAAAGAGGGGCATTAGTAAGAAACTTTCAAAGTTCACCATCCATTGGATACTACCAGAATTGCTGATGGTTAAAACAAAGTTGCCCCACGATGACAACCTAGCCAAGACGGCTAGCCCCACTGGAGGACCTAGGAAAGAAGATGAGCTGGGAGAAACAGGCAGTTAGGAGGACAGAGAAGGATAATAGGTGTGAGAGGACTTCCATTTGGGCCAGCTCCAATGCATGGGGAGGAATGACAGTCTCTGGTTCTCTTGATGCCTCCTCAGACTGAAAGTGGCAGGACAGAACAGCAAGTCTGAACCAGGTGAACAAGAGAGCCTGTATCACTTGGCAGGAGTTGTAACATTTGTGGATGTACTCGGCCACTTTCAACCTGTATCTACACTCCTCCAGGGCTAGCTTGACAGCTAGTAGTTCATGTTTCCAGAAGTCACAGTTCCTATCCGCTGGTGATTGCAATTCTTTTTCTTGATAAAAGAAGAAAGAACCCAGCAACAGCCAGGGAGGACAGACTGATAAAATCAGCTTCCTGGGACTCGTTTATGTCCTTATCCATTGCTTTATTTTCAGGGTGAACAGAGAATACAGATGGCCTTTGGGCAAAGGGTACCAGGGAGGAGATCAAGGGCACTGTGAAGACAAGAAGGTGGTGTGGGCCTTGTTCAACACTACCTTGAAATCCAAGTTCCCAGAAGTTAGATGAGATAGGTCAGGAGACTGAAGATTTGAATTATTCAGGAGGGGACGAGGCAGATCTTAGGCAGCATGGCATGTTGGCTCCATCCCAGAACTGCCCATGGCAAACAAAAATTAACTGAAAGACCCGTGTTGTTCCCTCTCAACTCAATAGCATCAAAACTATATTGCAGCACCTTTATTTGCCTCTGAATTAGAAGATGAATCTGCTGTGCTGAAAAAAAAAACTAGATTCTCAAATGTAGTGAACCTCACACTAAATGCTGCCACCCTGACTGATCACTTTATACCTGCTCAGGAAGTAAGTTCTTCTTACACTTTGTCTACTCTGAAGGTGGTATTGTTGCATAAAAACATAGCTAAAGTGTGAATATTTTGCTGTCTCACCTGTTAGGTCTTCTAATGTGCCTTATCAATCAAAAAGCATACACTGTCTTACCATGCGTATAACAAAACAGTGCTTTTATGTCAGTAGGCTGGTGCACTGTACCGAGTTCATGAAAGTCAGTCTCCTCTTCTCCCATTTTGATGGCTTTGTTGAAGAGTTGGATCCCTGTGACAATCATGGTGAGTTCATTAAGTTGCTGCTCCTTGTCCCTCTTTAAAAGCATCATGAAGGTTCCCAGTTCAGACTGAGGGAAGATGCTCTGCAGGGCAGCTGGGACAAACAGAAGAAGAAATTAACTGTTCACTTGTAATCTATCTTTAGGAATGTGTACTGAATGGCCAGAAGTATATGTCCAGGGATTCACTCCCGTTCTGCCGCAAAAGTATTAAAATGCTCCATCATGTGGTTGAGGTCAAAGCTCTGAGCAGACCAGAAGCTTTCCCAAACCAAACCAGGAGAACCACTTGTTTATGGAGTTGGCTTTGTGCACAAGGGCCTTGTCATGGTAATGCTGAAATGGCAATAGGACACAGCTCATCTTAAATAAATGTTCATTTCTATAAAAGACAGTACATGTAACAAACATCACTGTGTGCTGGACCACAAGATTTTCATGTAGGCTGCTGTATCCAAGTAAGTTGGAAGTTAGGTTCATACCCATTATTAAAAGCTAGAAAATATGCTTTTATTACATAAATGAATAGTCTACAATTGAACACCTCATTTATTGCTTATGAAGCAGCCAAGCTGGGAAGGAACTATGAATGTATAGCTCACAGATTGAATAGTACAGCTAGATAGCTCATACTATCTAGGACATGGAACATAACGCTGGCCAACAAATTTTATGAAAATTTTTGTTTCCTCTAAAATTTTTGGTGAAACCAATAGATTTTTACACGCTGAACACAAATATGTAATTGTAATTTCAGTATCACGCACGGTTTTTAAGAAAACTGTATTTATGCACTTAACATAATGTCTCCAGCAGCACAGGCCTACGCTACGATATACGATGCGATACCCAAGCAACATGAAAGAAATCTAAAAGTGTTTTGCCTCAGATTTTCGCTTGTAGTCACTGTCCGATGCCTCGCGTATCAGTGTCCAACAATAGTCTCCCAGCATAGATGGACTCCACTTTCCTTGGTAGTGTTTCTCCATGTTGGCAATCTCTTGATGAAACCTTTCACCATGCTCGTCACTAACAGCACCGACATTTTCTGGAAAGAAGTCTAAGTGAGAATGAAGAAAATGTATCTTAAGCGACATGTTGCAGTTCATCGACTTGTATGCTTGGAGCAGACTTTCAACCAGTTTGACGTAGTCTGGTGCCATGTAGTTGCCCAGAAAGTTAGAAATGACATTCTTGCAGGCGATCCACGCAACGCCCCTGCAGAAGGCCATCAAAGTAACTATCCTTCATCACCTCTCGAATCTGTGGGCCAACTGTTGTGAGCTAGTTGTGTGTCCACTTGGGGTTACCGTAGAAAACGAGGAAGTTATGCTTAAGAGGATGTTCATGTACATGTGGTGAGTTCGATGTGCTCATTGAATAAAACTGATTGTTACCTTAAGAAAGACGAGCAACTTCTTTCTGTAACATGACATGGTGTCAGAATTGAGGACTTCACGCCGCCACACAGGTCGTCATGGCTAAGTTCGGGCCCCTGGAGCCGTTCAACTTTGCCCAGCCGGGTGAGTGGCTGATATGGAGGCAGAGGTTTTCCCGATTCCGAGTAGCATCGAAGTTGGACAAGGAGAGCGGCGAAGTGCAAGTTAACTCGCTCCTGTATGCAATGGGACGGGATGCGGAGCCGCTTTACAGCTCCTTTGTGTTTCCCGCTGCTACGGAGGCTGTTCCGAACCCAGAGTTTGACTTTGAAATGGTGATGGGGAAATTCGATGAACATTTCATCCCCAAAAGGAACGTCATCCACGAGCGCGCCTGTTTCCATAAGAGGAGCCAATAGGCCGGGGAGACGGTGGAAGCTTTCGTACGTAGTCTGTACGAGCTCGCACAACATTGTGACTTCGGGGATAGTAAGGACGAACAGATTCGGGACAGAATTGTCATAGGGATCATGGATAAGGAGGTCTCACACAAACTCCAACTTGAGGCAGATTTGACCCTGGAGAGAGCCATCCAGCTCGCACGACAGTGTGAACAGGTGAAACATCAGAGCGTAGAGCGAGCGGAGACACAAACAGTACAGTAATTTGAGGCAGACCCATGACACAGCACGGCAGCCATGCGGTGCAAAACGCAGCGGGGCTAAACAGACTTGTCCACGGTGCAATAGAATGCATGATGATAAAGGGAGCTGCCCGGCCAGAAACAAAACATGCAGAAGGTGCAATAGGAAAGGTCATTTTGAAGTGGTGTGCAAAACTAAGATGTTAAAAGAGGTTTGTGCCACCCCTGTAAGGGATTCAGAGGAGGACTCATTCTTTATAGGTGAACTCTTCCTCAGGGCTGCATCAGAGGCCAGGCCAACCATCATTGAGGAGAGAATCAGACCCACATTGGAATGTCGAGTTGCTGGTTAATGGTAGTCCAGTCAGTTTCAAAATAGACACAGGAGCTGACATGACCGTGATGACTGAGACAGTATTTAGCTCAATACAGCAGAGACCCAAGCTGATTTGTTCTAGGATGATAGTGTACAGCCCAGGAGGAAAAGTCAGGTGTATAGGGAAATTCCTTGCCACAACAACACATAAAGGCAGAAAATACCAGTACTGGATTACTGTCATAAGAGGGCAATATGTGAGCAACCTGATAGGCAAGACAGTGGCAAAGCGCATGGGGCTGGTAGCAAGAGTCAATGAAATTTAATGTGACCTGACAGGAGATGTGTTTGGAGAAATAGGATTGCTGGACTGTGAGCCGGTGAAAATAGAGTTGACAGAGGGTGTAGTGCCATACTGTGTGAACACACCACGCAGGATTCCCTTTCCTCTCCTCCCAAAGGTGGAGAAGGAGTTGAAGCGCATGCCCAGCTGCCCAGCCCCACAAATGTGGAGCAACTTCGCCAGGTGCTGGGACTGATAAATTATGTGGGCAGGTTTCTGCCAGGACTGTCCACCATACTGCATCCACTCACCAGCCTACTGAGAAAAGATACTGCATGGGTCTGGGGAGAGTCGCAATCAAAATACTTTCATCTCTACAGTGCCTTGTGAAAGTATTCGGCCCCCTTGAACTTTGTGACCTTTTGCCACATTTCAGGCTTCAAACATAAAGATATAAAACTGTAATTTTTTGTGAAGAATCAACAACAAGTGGGACACAATCATGAAGTGGAACGAAATTTATTGGATATTTCAAACTTTTTTAACAAATAAAAAACTGAATAATTGGGCGTGCAAAATTATTCAGCCCCTTTACTTTCAGTGCAGCAAACTCTCTCCAGAAGTTCAGTGAGGATCTCTGAATGATCCAATGTTGACCTAAATGACTAATGATGATAAATAGAATCCACCTGTGTGTAATCAAGTCTCCGTATAAATGCACCTGCACTGTGATAGTCTCAGAGGTTCGTTTAAAGCGCAGAGAGCATCATGAAGAACAAGGAACACACCAGGCAGGTCTGAGATACTGTTGTGGAGAAGTTTAAAGTCGGATTTGGATACAAAAAGATTTCCCAAGCTTTAAACATCCCAAGGAGCACTGTGCAAGCGATAATATTGAAATGGAAGGAGTATCAGACCATTGCAAATCTACCAAGACCTGGCCGTCCCTCTAAACTTTCAGCTCATACAAGGAGAAGACTGATCAGAGATGCAGCCAAGAGGCCCATGATCACTCTGGATGAGCTGCAGAGATCTACAGCTGAGGTGGGCGACTCTGTCCATAGGACAACAATCAGTCGTATACTGCACAAATCTGGCCTTTATGGAAGAGTGGTAAGAAGAAAGCCATTTCTTAAAGATATCCATAAAAAGTGTTGTTTAAAGTTTGCCACAAGCCACCTGGGAGACACACCAAACATGTGGAAGAAGGTGCTCTGGTCAGATGAAACCAAAATCGAACTTTTTGGCAACAATGCAAAACGTTATGTTGCTGCTGAGAGAGCGGTCCAAACGGCCAAACACATTCTCAAACAGCCAGACCCCTGCCTAGCCTTAATGAGCTACCGTTCAACGCCACGGGTGCAAGCCCTGCTCTGCTTATGACAGGTCGACGGATGCGCACAACTCTTCCAGTGCTTGAAAAGACCTTACTGCCACGCCCACTGTCCCATGATCGTGTCTCTCAGAAGGACAGCGCAGCGAAGGAAGCTTACAGGTTTTTCTATAACCGTAGACATTCAGTTCATTCACTCCCTGAACTGTGTCCAGGTCAGGCCGTCAGAGTGAAGCTCGACGGTGATAAAGGCTGGAAAACACCTTCCAAAGTCATCGCCAGGTCAAAAGAGCCGGGGTCGTACTTGGTGAAAATGGACAATGGGACGGTGTCGCGGCGCAATAGACGCCACCTCCAGGCTGGTCCGTGGATAAGCAATGCTACGGAGCAGCAACAACAAGCTGTATCTGGGGTGCCGCAACAGGACGGTGGGTTCCCAACGTCTGAGGGGGCTGCTCAACTGGGAACATCGGAGAGTCCGGGGTCGTTGAGTCCCACTCCTGGTTCTCCTGCTGGGTCCACCGCTCCAGTGAGGAAGACTTCCAGTGGCCGTGAGGTCAAAATGCCTCTTAGGTTTAGAGACTAATTGTAGAATCCAAAGGGCAGAATAATCCCTTATCTGGACGGAGGGTAGTCTACCCCGGTGATGTCCAGCACTATGCACACACTTTATAGTGCGTGTTTTGATAAATGGTGTATCAGGTATGATGTTGGTATCCATGACCTGACATGTTCTCCGTTTCTTTGTTATGGGATGAGTAAAATGCGGGATGTTGGGTGGTTGTGGAAGTTGCTTGAAAATTGGCTTTCATTGCATGAAAAAAAAATAGATAAGCGGGAGTGTGGGTAAAAGACTGGTGGGGGGGGGGGGGGGGGGTGTTCTGGGGTGCCGCAACAGGACGGTGGGTTCCCAACGTCTGAGGGGGCTGCTCAACTGGGAACATCGGAGAGTCCGGGGTCGTTGAGTCCCACTCCTGGTTTTCCTCCCGGGTCCACTGCTCCAGTGAGGAAGACTTCCAGTGGCCGTGAGGTCAAAATGCCTCTTAGGTTTAGAGACTAATTGTAGAATCCAAAGGGCAGAATAATCCCTTATCTGGACGGAGGGTAGTCTACCCCGGTGATGTCCAGCACAATGCACACACTTTATAGTGTGTGTTTTGATGAAAAGAGTATCAGGTATGATGTTGGTATCCATGACCTAACATGTTCTCCGTTTCTTTGTTATGGGATGTGTATAATGCGGGATGTTGGGTAGTTGTGGGAGTTGCTTGGAAATTGGCGTTAATTGCATGGAAAAATAAAAAAAACAAAAAAAATAGATAAGAGGGAGTGTGGGTAAAAGACTTGGGGGGGGAGATGTTGTGAGAGTTAGTTGTGTGCCCACTTGGGGTTACCGTAGAAAACGGGGAAGTTATGCTTAAGAGGATGTTCACGTACATGTGGTGAGTTCAACATGCTCATTGAATAAAACTGAGTGTTACCTTAAGAAAGACGAGCAACTTCTTTCTGTAACATGACACCAACAAAAACACTTTCTTTTATCTTGGCATCACTGATGCGTGGACACATCTGTTGCAAATATGCAAAGGCTTCGCTTTGCTTGTTCATTGCTTTAACAAAGTTTTTCATTAGCCCAAGCTTGATGTGCAAAGGTGGAAGAAAAATTTTCTTCAGATTAACCAATGGCTGATGTGCAACATTCTTCTGCCCTGGAACCAATTTCCTGCGAGGTGGCCAGTCCTTTCTCACATAATGTAAAGCTCTTGCTCGGCTGTCCCACTCGCAAAGAAAACTACTTGGTGTATCCAAGCTGCAGTCCGAGTAAAATGGCAACCACCTTTAGATCGTCGCATATATTCCAGGTGTACTTCGAGTACTAAATGTGTTTCAGCAGCAGCTGCATGTTCTCATATGTTTCCTCCATATGAACGACATGTCCGACAGGTATGGAAGGGTAGATATTGCCATTGTGCAGCAAAACGGCCTTCAAACTTAACAGTGATGAGTCAATAAACAGTCGCCATTCTTTGGGGTCATGTTCACATCCGAGATCAGAAAGCAATCCATCGATGTCACTGCAAAAGGTCAGACTGTCAACCTGTCTGAAAAATTTTGTCAAATCTTCATGACAGCGCCAAAAAAATGAAATTTTTGTATCTGATGACAAGTTCCACCCTTGCAACCTTGATCCAAGCAGTTCTGCTTGACTCTTCGATAAATTCAAATCTCTGACAAGATCGTTGAGCTCTGCCTGAGAAATTAAATGAGGATCACTGGATGTTGATGGTTCAAAATCTGGATCGTTGGAGCTGCAACAACGGTCAATCGG